CTAGACTCCTGTTTCAAATTTTTGTATGATTTTACATTGAAATTTTATCAAAGGGTGGTTCAATTCAAGTATTTAATATTTTTAAGGTGAGTTTTTAATCTTTAAGATCTTTATATTGACATTTTATTTCATTTATTAAAATATTCCTTAAATATATTTACTTGCTTAAAAAGTAAATATATGAATTTAATTAATATTTAAATCCTATAAAATACTCGAAACTACTTATAAAGATAGGTTGAGGTTTTATAAGACTGAATATGAGTTGAAATTTTGATTTTCTATATCTTATGATTTTTTAGGGATTTATTTATTTTTAACTGGCAATTTATTTATATTTTACCAATTATGTGAATATTTCAGCCTAAATTTCTTACAACTTTATGAAATGAATTTGTGAGATCATAAAAGACATCAGAAGTGTTTAACATAAGTTTTAAGAATTTTTAAAATTTTGTTAATATTTATTACTATTTTATTTTTAAGGTATTTTTTATTCCATAAAACTATATAAATTCAAGTAAACTTTAAATTGTATGAAACTTCACAAGAATTTTCAAAGTGGCAATCTTAAAGACCACAAAAATTTTAAATTAATTTTTGTTCATATGAATTTATTTAATGATTTAATTAATTAAATTTTTTTCTAATAAAAAATATTTAAATTTGTTTCTAATAAAAAAGATTTGAAATTTTTTAAATATTTTTTTCTATTATAAAGGTCCTTTCATGAAAATTTGATAATTTAATGGAGTTTTAATAAATTTATTTGAGATTTTTCAAATTATTCTTATTTTTTTAAACAATTTAATTATGGTTATTATGATAATTTATGGTTTTATTAATATTTATTTTAATTCTTCTAAAGTCACTGTTAATGTTTACTAAAGGAATTTTGAACATGTTTGAAAGTATTTTAGAGAATCTTGCTTCACATTTCTTGTTATTATTATTATTATTATTATTATTAATATTATTATTATTATTATTATATGATATTTAATTGACTTCTAAGCAATATATTTGAAATCAGCCAACACATTGTTTAATTTACCAAATGAAAATTACAGAGAATTGACTATGATTAGGTGAACAATCTATAAAATTTTTAAATTAAAATTTTAATTTACTAAATATAATTTATATGGTTTTTTTTCATTTTTTTGATTAAAATAATTTCATTTTACTTCAGCTTCTCTTTTTATTTGAAAATACTCTAGGTAATTTCTTAAGGTTACTGTAATTTCTCCTTTATATTTTTTATTTTTATTTATTTAGCTATAAAATTTAGAAATTTATAGGGGTTTAAATGATTTTTTAAATCATTTAAATTAATTATACAGTCAACACCCTGATTATACAATTTCTACAACTTGTGCTATTTGATTTGCTAAGCAATCATTAGCTACACATTTTCAACATGGTGGATGATTGATGAATGGTTTGTATGAATGGATTGTGATGTCCATTTTCAAACTGTGAAAATAGACGACATTCATTCGTTGTCTGCAATGCGTCCGAGGATTTACGATTTTAGATCAAAATTTACTTTATCCCATAAATCTAAAGTTCAACACGAGATAAGATATCATCTAAAAGGGTCAAAACCACTAACCTAACTTATCATATGGCTAGATTAACCTAGATTTATAGTTCCTTTCAAAAATAACAAAAAATGAAAGGCATGGGCTAAGTTCATAGGCATACCTATATGACAGAGGTGATCATGTGTAATTGATTGGCCTCAAACACTCATCTATCCCCCAATAATATGCCATGATGTGTAGCAACAAGCTCCAATTACATTACATATGGTTTTGATAATACAACAGTAGACTAGAAGGCTTGTTTAATGAGGTTTGATACGTGAAGTTTCTTGAATAGCTTGGTGAAGATTTTTGAATGATTTGAGAGCTAGATCAGGGAGTGTGTGATGCAAATTAGGAGTATATTGTACTGAAACCTCTCTCAATTTTGAAGGAAATTGAGGTGAATTCAAGTTTAACATTTCACGATGTTCTAAAGTTGTATGGGAAAGTGCTTGAGGATTTTGGATGCTATTCTGAAGTAGCTCTAGTGTGAGCTAAATGAATCAATTGAATATGTAGCTCTCTCATTTATCTCTGTATTTTTTATTAGGCTTCTGGCAGGAAGGCAGTGCTTTGACACAATTGGTTATGAGTTGAGCCAATAGAGGGCGGCCAAGTGGTCAATTGGTTTTGGTGGAGGTGAAGGCTGCTTAGATGATTTTTTGTGGCTTTGAGTCCTTGGGCATTTAGGCTGGCTGGATTGGGCTTAACTCGATCTAAGTCAATTCATTCGGTATCCAAGGTAAGAGACCACCTTGGAGTTGGGTTGAGGGTAGGCAGCCATTAACACCGGTTTGGCGTTTAGTCTGGTCCAATTTAAGATTTGGTTTATTCGGATTTTATTTTGCTTAGGTTAGTTAAGTTGATTAAATCAAAGTTTCTAAGTGTTTGATTAATTTGGTTTTGGTTTAAGTACCTCATGCATAAATTTGTGTTTCGATTAGATTTAGTTTAGTTAACTTTAACTTTAATTTTTGCATTTAGGTGGGATTTACGGACTTAGTTTTAGGATTTGATTTTAGGTTTATTTAATTAAGTGAGTTCATGGGTATTATATTTAATGACATGGGCTTGGTTTGCATGCTTGATTTTGGATTTAGCTTTAAGTACATTAAGTTTTATTTGGATTTAGCTTTAAGTACATTAAGTTTTAATTAGAAGAACCTATTGATTTAAATATATGCTATTTAAGTTTATGTTTAAGTGTTTTAGTCCAAACTTTGTTTGATTTTATGTTTTGTTTGAGTTTAGATTAATTGATTTTAATGTTTTGTTTTGAAAGTTTAGTTTAGAATGATTTTGTTTTTAATTGATTGATTTTATTTCATGTTTTATTTTTTTATGTGCATGTATTTTGGTTTAATTTTATTGATTATGTAAACTTATTTTATGCTTAATTTCAAGTTATTTCAAATTTGGATAGTGTTTATGTTTTTTAGTTAGTTTTATATATTATCTTTAGATTTCATAAAGAATTTGTTTATATTCAAGAAAATTTTGTTTTGTTTAAGTTTTAATTATGAGTTTTCCTTAAGCTGATTTGGTTTAGATTTAATTATTTAATTAACTATTTATTCATGTTTAACTTGGATGATTTGAGTTTTATTTTGATTTGAACTTTTAATTTTGAATGCTACAAAATTGAAATCAATTCTCTTATTTTGATTTGAGCTTAAACCTAACCATAGTTTGAGATAATCGTCAAACATGTTTGAGCTCATCTTGAATCATAAAGGTGAGGTAAAAAGAAGGTTAGGCTTGACTAGGTGGGTCCCACAAAGTCTCTTTAAGTTGACTAAATAAGGAGGTCGGACTAACCAACCTTGTCTATAGGGTGAGCCAAAGGGTTTATGAGAACCTAAGACATGAGGTTAGGCCCCTAGGCACAATGCTTCTCTTAAAGGCATTCTATGAACTGAAAATGCGCTCAACATTTAGTTCTTAATATCCTGATAACTGATCTTAATATCTTTAAAAATTATTAACTCAACTTTAACAAATATGATCTAAGAATCAAATTAGGTGCACTTAGGACCAAAACGAATAAGGATTTAGCTTTGTAAAAATTTAGATTCCAATCATCAACTAGTCATCTAGCGCAGCTACTAAGGAGTTCCTATTGCTAGATCATAAGCGCTAAGGATGAGTTCCTATTTCAATTGGCTTAAAATCAAGTCAATAAGTTCTTTACATAAAAATCAGATGATTTTAATAGATAAATTGGGTAAATCATAACTTTAAAAGTATAATTACCACATACCCCCAAATCATTCTTATATTCCTATACTTGATGCAACACAATCCACATAAATCATCGATATTATCAGTCACAACCAATAGTACTATTATAGTACTAATCACAATAAATACCTTGAACTTAAATTTAAAAATTAAACAATCTTTTTTAAGAACAATAACAAAATTCATATTAGAATAACCATTCCCCCTTTTCTAATAGAAATCATTCCCACTTCAGTATTTTAATAGCCCAGGGGTTGAGGGCACTCTTAGGAATGTACGCGAATGGTCGTAGTTGTCCTGTGTCAAACACTAAAGATAAGCATGCCAACATATACCATCCTAGATTAAATTATTAAAAGTTCTAAGATCAGATAACTGGTTAAGTAAGCACTTACTACTACTTTTTTAATCTAATTTTCTGTTTAATAAGTAGAACAAGTCAAATGCAGAGAGTTTAGGATGTTAAAAACTATAGGAAGCCCCGTAAAAAGCAAATAAATAATTAATGGTAAAGGTTGTCCACCATAAATAATAATTTGTTACAAAAGACCTGGCTAAATTCCAGGTGAAATTGTCATGGTTTTGGACCAGACCCGAAGCACGAAAAGCACTGCTTTTTATTTAGGAGAAATGACAAATACTCTGAACTTTGCTTGTCAATATTGGCAGTCATTTAGTACAAATTCGTTCCTCAATAATTTTCCATTATTTATCGCTTTTATTAGGCTTACGTATCACCAAGAATCTAAATGTGATATAGTTGCTGCTGAAGTTTTAAAAGTTATTAAATTTGAATACTGTTTATATCAAATTAGTGACTTGAGAAAACGGTGTCAGAGTTTTCTAATATTAGAAAGGCTTGGTTTTAAGTGAGGTAGTCAAACAAATGAGAATTTAAAAATTTAAACAGAATAATATCTGTCATCACTTGAAAGCAAATCAAGTATACATTAGGGAGTGTATGTTGACTTTTTAGATGTGGTCAAGATTAGAAACTAAACACAGGTTTTAGAAGTTAAGAATCCACAACTTGATTCGATTCCTGTTTTTTGAAAGTTGATGCAACAGAAAAGATGTGGGAGAAGACAACAAGCTCTGAAATAATTATGAAAAGATATAGGAACATCCCATTAAAGTTTGAAAAATTAAAGTGAAGAAAGAAGGGCTCTCAACAACAGGAGAAGGAAGGATTTCAACCTTTCTTATTAACTTTTCTCTCGTCTTGCCCGGTTCTGCTTTGTTTACTAAAAGTTCAACTTCTGAAACCTTACAGTACAGATCTTCAGGTTTCAGCTGAAGAGCAACTCCCTATGTGGCTCCAACACCAAAGAAATCAATGAAGGAAGAGCTTATCTTCTCCTTGTTATCGTCTCCCTCTTCAAGGATAAAGGCATTGCCTTGCTTGACCACTGATCCAGTTGCTGAAATCTCATAATTTGAATCAGAATAGCCAGAGTGATCGGTCGCTGGTGCCAATGCAAGGGGGGAATCAAATTGCCTCTGAGAACCTCCATTTTCTCCAGTCAAATCCTTTTCACCGGATCCTGAAATGATAATTTGGTGAATAGGTCAACCGTGGAAACAAAGCAAGGAACTTTTTAAGTTTGAAAAAGAGGGAGAATCATACCGGTGAAATACTGGAATTGCTGTGGCTGCGTTTGATGAGTGTGTGTGGGGAAGAATGCATGACCACGAAAGCTTCCGTATGCAGAGGAGTTTAGTGAGAGTTCAGTGCAGGTGGGCAAAGACTCATCTATATTGCCGGAGATGGAGGATTCGACAATGCAAGCATTGTTGTAGCAGTTCACCTGGAGGTTATTACTGAACTCCTGAACTGAAGAAGAGGAAATGGTGTTCGAGGACTTTCTCCTTCTATGAGCATTGGTCTGTTCCCTGTGCCTCCTCGCTACGATCACATGCCAGTGATTCTTCACAGCATTATCAGTTCTCCCAGGGAAAAATCTGGCAATAAGAGCCCATTTGTTTCCATACAGACGGTGGGCAGAGAGAAGCTTTTCCTCCTCCTCCTCAGTGAAGGCCTTCTTGTTAATCCTTGGGTCCAACTGGTTGAACCAACGCAACCTGCAGCTCTTCCCTGCGACCGCGTTGATTGAATAGAAGAACAGAAGCGCCGAAAAAATTTTAGGAAATTTCATGACTTTTTATAAAATAAATACTCTGCTAAAGAAGTATTCCAAACAATGTAGCTGAAAAAAGGGGGAAAAATAAACAGAAACGCTTATAAAAGAGGAGTTTTTACAAGTGAATACCTGATCTTCCTTCAAGATTTTCGGCAATAAGATTCCAGTTCTGGGGACCATATTGGGCAACAAGTTCCCGAAGTTTAGCATCCTCTGCTGGCCTCCAATGGCCTCTGACACAGAGCTTTGACTGCCCGCTTTCATGTTCCCCTTCATGTTCTTCACTATGTCCATTCTTCTCACTTCCATTAGAACCTGATCCTCCACTCAAACCCTCAAGTCCCAAACCGGGAAGAAACGGCTGCTGCTGCTGCTGTTCCAGTGGGAAGCCAGTCTCATTTGTCTTTCTATCTCTCTCATTTGTCTTTCTATCTCTCTCATTTGTCTTTCTATCTCTCTCATTTGTCTTTCTATCTCTCTCATTTGTCTTTCTATCTCTCTCATTTGTCTTTCTATCACTCTCTGATGGAAACAGATTAGGCGGGGATGGAGGAGAGAGCTCCATGACTTCCAATCCTAGTTTTCACGGTAACTATTCTTAATATTACAGAAAAAAAAAACTTTCGTTCTTCTCCAAAATGGTTTGTCAGAGATCTGCCATAAACACTCCGGCCATTAAAAAAGAAAACTTTCCCTTCTAAATTTCTTTGATCTTCGCGACGTTCAGCGAAAACAGAGCATTCAGTAGCTTATCAAGACGAGTAGTGGAGAAGAAGGAAAGTTAAGAGAACCAAGTTGGTCTCGGGAAACAGAAGAACAAGAGTGAAACAGTCTCGGTGAAAACGAAACCTCCATGATTATCCCCTCTCTCTTTCTCTCCTTCTCTCTCTCTGTGCCTCGCTTACTTTGAGACTGATTGCTTTGCCTCTGAGGGCATTGGGCGTCGCATGCAGAGGATCAAAAGAAAACCGCTCGTGTGGTTTGTGGGCGGCCTTCCCTCTCTTTATAATAACAGGGCTATAAGTCTCGTATCGCCCCTGCACAAAAACAACCAGGAACTTGTCATTTTGCAAACTTTTATCTTTTTGCATAAATTTACTTTATACGCAATAAAGGCTTGATAATTAATAGTCTAAATTATTTAATTTATTTATACTATTTTGTACTTTAAGGCCCTCATAGCCGATAGCCGATAGCCTCATGTTAAATCATATTTACTTTTCTATTTAGTTTTTTTCTTTTTCTTTTTTTTACAATGTCAAAGGACTCGTAAGATGAAAGGAGATTTTGAAGCTTTTTCACCAAAAAAAAAAAGAGAGATTTTGAAGTGATTTCGAAATGTGGATTTGAAATTGCTAAAACAGGAACAAAAAAGGGGAAATTTTGTATACACACCACACAATTTTTGTATTTACATTTATGATACTTTGGGGTCAAAAGTTATACATAAAAAGATGTATTTCACATAAAAAAGTTTAATAACAGTAATATTTTTAATTTGATTAAGAAACTAAGTTTTATATATGTAAATATGAAACTTTAGGCATTAGATATGTAAACACATAAGAAATGTGTGGTACAAATGTAAATACTCAAAAAGATAAACTTGATTAAAACTTTGATTTCGAAAAGATAGATTTTTGTAACAAAATAATTTTGATAATCATAAATAAAGTCCAAGCAAAAAATAAACTCCCTGTTTTCAAGTGCTGAACTATGATGGCTTTAAAATGAATTTGGGTATATGATGGCACTCATCAATGAAATGGGCCTATGTATACAGTTGCAATGTTTCGTGTACTTCTGATATATCCTTTCTCATAGCCGAGTCACAGCTAACTCTATTGTTTTTATTTATTATTATTATTTTTTTTTTTTAGCATTTGTTGCAAATAGGGTTATAAATAGTTACAGGCTTATTGCAATTAATAATAATAATAATAATAATAATAATAATAATAATAATAATAATGGAAAGGTGAAGCGCCAAAGTAGGAGAGTACAGTAGTGGCACATTAAGGTCACCTTACATGGTTATAAAAGCGAATTCGAACGAGTTGATTTTAATTTAAACTTAAAATTTTATTTTAAATTTAGTTAAATGCGACAAGAGTAAACCGTTAAAATGTGTATTTTAAATAAATTAATGTAGAATCCTTTTAGGCCATAGTGCATTTTATTATCCGCGAGTTCACAAAATTTGGAAAAGTTCTTAGTTTACAAGGGAAGTGTAGAAAAAGATGATAAATGTGTGTCAGAGCTTGAATTCTTATTATCTTGCCTGAGTCTCCGGGGGAGGACGAAATGGTTTTTGGTGGAAAGGTTTTTAGTTTTGAGTTGGGCAAAGAGTCGAGTGAGCCCCATTTCCTCCCTTTTAGGGGTGTGCAGTATTTGGTTTTATCCAGAAAATCAAATTGAGGAGAATAGATTTAATAATTTGGTTTTGTTTTGAATTAAAAGTTTAGATTTTGATTTTTAAAATGCCAAATATTTGGTTTTTGGCTCTCAGTTTTTTTTGTTATATATCAAATACATATATATTTCGGTTTATGCAAAACTAAATTGTTCAAATAGAATTAAGCTTCAGTTTGACTGGTTTGGTTTTGTCAAATTTTTGTTTGGCTCAGTAGTTCGGTTTTTGGATTTTGGTGGTATGCCCAGTTTTAAAACCGATCCATCTGAACCGAATGGACACCCCTACTCTCTTTTGCCCTCAATACATAAAAAAAAAAGATAAAATAAATAAAATTATAGCTTGTACAATACTAGACATTTCCTTGAAGTCTTGATAAAAATGTGAAGCGTAGGTGTCAAACGACGTCATAAATATAGATGGATGTATGTTCTCTAATATACTGATGGTCTTCTTCAATATTTAATTTGCCCCAGGCAAGATCAACACCTCAACAGGTGGGCCCAAATCAGCTACTTCGTCATATGGCCTCAACTCTAGATTACCCAAGTAGAAGTCTTTCTTAAGTTCATGATCGTAATTGGGTATGCAATTAAATTCATTTTAAGATGTAATCAAATCAAACCCAAGCATACTATTGTCGCTTTAAGCAAATCAAATCTGACTGGTCAAAATTCAAATATCCATACAGAAATTATGTGTGGACACGAGCTGAAGTTTGTTCATATATATATTTTGATAAATTTCTTCCAAAAAAAAAAAATGAAAAAGTTGAGGGAATCATTGGACGGTTCTGATTAGTTGGAGTGGGACCTATTCACATTCTAATTTTGGTTCAAATCGAAGACTAACGAGACATTTTCTTACGTAACACCACTTATATTAAGGTTGGGCCGGCATTGTGGCAGTGCCCGGTAGGTGGTCTGTTAGTGTTATTTTCTCAGCAATCACGTGCCTCATGTGAAACTGCAGCCTATCGTTACACTTAGTCAAAACCACATGTTTTTAACTAGTTTGTTTAACAACATGTCGATATATCATAAAGTTTATTGATTAACAAATTTTAGAAAAATGTTATATGTACAATCCTCTGCTGTCTTGATGTCATATTATCAGGGTTTGCTTCATTGCAGTCTTTTCTCTATTTGTTAAAGAAAAAAGAACTGTAATTTATTATAAAAATATTCGTTTTAGAAATTGTAATACCTTCAGTCTCTCTATTTACTCTTCAGTGAAGAAGAGCGGAGCTCTGCATTCCAGCTACTAAACATGCTGAAAAAAAAAAGTCTACGTTTGATATTAAATAGCCCGACTTGCCAAACCATCTTTTTGGCTTTAAAATTTTCACACAAGTCTATAAATGCGACTCCAAACAACTGCTTTGGGGCTAGCTTTTTATTTATTTATTTATAATTGCGAATCCCAATATGGAGAAGAAGATTAAAAAAAATAAACGTCTCATTTTTCTTTCCTCGTATCAGAAAAGTAGATTTTTTAGCCAATCCAACCGTACTGATTGATTTGTATTATGAAAGGTTATATGAAATGAGCAATTGGCTCACTTTCTTGTACTAGCAATTTTTACTTCATGTATTGGAATAAAAACTACACATCCACGGGCATTTACTTATATACCATCCAATTGTTATGTATTTAGACATCTAATTTAGCTATTTTTTATAGTTATGCCATTTAAATCTTCAGTATCACATAAAAAAATAACGTTATTTTCATTGTTAAAGAGTAAAATGCTCTTTTAAAAGCATAGTTAAAGTGATATAAATGTAAAAAATGAAATTTAGATTTTAGATATGTAAATACAAAATAATTAAGTGGTTGTATTTAAATCTTCCTAAAATTTATGTTGGCCAAATAAGTTTTTTAAGATGCGGTGTAGATATTTATATTACTTCAGAATTGGTGTAATTTTGTCTTTAAATGTTTGAGTGCAGTAAGTTGTTGGCTATCAAATGAGTGTTTGGAGAGGACACATGGAGAGCGGTCATTTGGTAGAAGGTTATATGTCTACTTTGCTGAAGATATGTTAGAATCATTCAGTTAAGAAGAATTAGTGCTTTTTTCTTTTCTCGGTGAAAATGAAGGACACACGAGCTTTATAGATGAAAACACAAATGTACAAAATCAAAATACAAAGCTAAAACGTGAAAAAAGATAGAAGTATAAGACCAACACCTTCGGAAAACAAACAAAAATCTAAAAGATATCAAATGAACCTAACTTATGGCATTTCTATAGGTATAACATTGAGTAACGATTCTCTCCACATTGTGCTTGAGAGAAGGCCAGAAAAACCTTGAATCAAGGAGGTGAATAATCTTCCTTTTTTTCAAAGTACACTGGTAATCCTTCAAAATGTAACTCTACAATCATAAATATCTAGAGTGAAGTTCTTCTGGGGATGCACTATTTTCTCCTTTTTATATAGATATCATTGTGGATGGAATATTCACTGATGAGACTTAATTATTTTAGAAAAAAATTTTATGTAACGTCTATAGAAATCAGCATGTCCTAAAAAGCTTCTTACCCTTTTAACATTAGTCGGAGGTGGTAATTGTTCAATAACTTGAATTTTTGCAGGATCTACTTTCATACTGTTTTCAGAAATTTTATAGTCAAGTACAATTCCTTCTGCAACCATAAATTGACATTTTTCCCAATTTAATACTAGGTTGATTTTTTCAGATACTTCCAAAACTTTTTTTAAATTATTTAAGCATAGTTCAAACGAAGTTCTAAATATCAAAAAATCATCCATAAACACTTCCATTCCATGTTCAATAAAATTGCTAAAGATTGACATCATACATCTTTGAAATGTTGCAGGTGCATTGCATAGCCCAAAAGACATTCAACGAAAAGCAAATGTTCCATATGGGATTGTAAATGCTTTCTTTTCTTGATCCTCTGGAGCAATTAGAATTTGGTGATAACCGGTATATCCATCTAAAAAGCAATAATATTTGTTTCCAGTCAATCTTTTCCAGTTGTTTCCAGTCAATCTATCCAACATTTGGTCTAGAAAAGGTAAAGGAAAGTGATCTTTTTTTGTGACCAAGTTTAATTTTCTATAGTCAATACAAATTCACCAACTAGTAACTTGTCTTATTGTTATTAGTTCATTTTTCTCATTTTCTTCGACGGTCACTCCTGCTTTCTTCGGAGTGTGAATTGGACTTTCCCAAGCACAGTCTGAAATTGGATGCATAATTCCAGTATCTAGCCATTTTAAAATTTCTTTTTTAACAGAAAATGGCTCATCGCATATGAACTATAAGAGTTGTGATCATTTTCGATATTTATAAAATTGATTGAAATTTAACCGATGTTGTATATACAGTTTGGTAAAGTGTCCTTCACTTGATATATAAGTGTAAATTGTTCATAAAAGATTAACCGTGACTTTGGAGTGAGAATTGTATATACAGTTAATATAATTATCCAAAAGCTGTGGATTGGAATGCAAATAATTAAATATGATATATTATTGATACTTTATGATTACCTGAAACAAATCTAAATTTTAGTGCAAGTTTCGTGCAAGTAAACATACAAGTACAAATAAAATTGTATTGATTATTATCATAAAATATCGTGACATAATAATTTTAATAATTTTTATTGTAGCTTCATAGCCAAAAAAGAAAACAGCTCATGGTCTCTTAAAAAATTTAATTTAAATTAAATATAAAAAGTCTTGATTTGAAGATGCACTCATTCTAGGCCTTAGGATTGGTTGGCCACGTTGCCGAGGGGCTTGGGGTTAGC